CCATTAAAAAGTGGACAAATGACATAAACAGACACTTCTCAAAAGAAGATACACAAATGTCCAACAGGTATATAAAAAAATGTTCAACAATACTAATCATCAGGGAGATGCAAATTAAAACCACAGTGAGATAAAAACACAGTGAGAAAAACCCAGCCAGAATGGCCATTATTAAAAAGTCAAAAAACAATAGATGTTGGTATGGATGCAGTAAAAGGGAACACTTTTACACTGCTGGTGGGAATGTGAATTAGTACAACCTCTATGGAAAATAGTATGGAGATTTCTCAGAGAACTAAAAGTAGCTCTACCATTCGATCCAGCAATCCCACTATTGGGTATCTACTCAACAGAAAAGAAGTCATTATATTAAAAAGACACTAGCACACATGTGTTTATCACAGCATTATTCACAATTGTAAAGATGTGGAATCAACCTAAGCGCCCATCAACTGATGAGTGAATAAAGAAAATGTTGTCTAGTCACAATAGCAAAGACATGGAATCCACCTAAATGCCCATCAATGATAGACTGGATAAAGAAAATGTGGTACATATACACCATGGAATACTATGCAGCCATAAAAAAGGAGTAAGATCATGTCCTCTGCAGGGATATGGATGGAACTGGAGGCCATTATCCTAACACAGGAAAAGAAAACCAAATACCACATGTTCTCACTTATAAGTGGGAGCTAAATGAGGAGAACACATGGTCACATAGAGGGGAATGGTATACACAGGGGCTTATTGGAGGATGAAGGGTAGGAGGTAGGAGAAGATCAGGAAAAATAACTAATGGGTACTAGGCTCAATACCTGGGTGATGAAATAATTTGCACAATAAACTCCCAAAACACAAGTTTATCTGTGTAACAAATTTGCACATGTACCCCTGAACTTAAAATAATTTTTTTAAAAAAGAAAATGTGGTATATATACACCATGGAGTACAAACTACTCAGCTATCAAAAAATAACAAAATAATGTATTTTGCAGTAACTTGGATGAAACTGGAGGCCATTATCCTAAGTGAAGTAACTTAGGAATGGAAAACCAAAAACCGCATGTTCGCCCTTATAAGCGGGAGCTAAGCTATGGGTATGCAAAGGCATACAGAGTGGTATAATGGACACTGGAGACTCAGAAAGGGAGGAGGGTGGGAGAGGGTAAAGAAGGAAAAAAATTACCTATTGGGTACAATGTACACTATTTGGGTGACAGGTACACTGAAAAACCAGACTTCACCACTATACAATTCATCCATGTAGCCAAAAACCACTTATACGCCCTGTGTTAGGTCATCCTTGCATTGCTATAAAGAAATACCTGAGACTGGCTAATTTATAAAGAAAGGAGGTTTAATTTGTCTCATGGTTCTGCAGGCTGTACAGGCATGGCACCAACATCTGCTCAGCTCCTGGTGAGGGCTTCAGGGAGCTTCCAATCATAGGAGAAGGTGAAGAGGAGCGAGCATATCACATGGTGAGAACAGGAGCAAGAGAGAGAAGGTGGAGAGGTGCTAACGTTGGAGACATTTAAACAACCAGATCTTGCATAAACTCAGAGCAAGAACTCACTTATCACCTAGAGGATGGCACCAAAGCCATTCATGAGGCATCCACCCCCATGATCCAATACCTCCGAACAGGAACTATCTCCAACACTGGGGATTGTATTTCAAAGTGAGATTAGGAAGGGACAAATATCCAAACCATATCAACCCCTAAAGCTATTGAAATAAAAGAAAGAAAGATAGAAATAATCTAAAGTTAGGTTGTAATTATGGTTGCATAACTCTATAAATATACTAAAAAGCTTGGAATTGTACAGTTGAAATATGTGATGATTATTTTATATAAAATATACCCCAGGTAAAGGCTTTTTTAAAATAAACATCAAAAAGTACCAGAGACAGTGATGATACTTTGTGGTTTGGAACTTACTTTTCTCAGTAATAGTTCTTGGGATTTTTTTCCTATCGGTGCATATAGATCTACTTCATTAATTTTTGAAGTTGCTTAGTTAAGTGGTACCACATTTATTTACCCAATTCCCTTTGATGGACATTTTGGTTGTTATCTCCTTGGCAATCATAAATAATGCTGCAATTAACATCTTTGAACATATTTTATGCATGTGCAAAATACAGATTTTTGATTTCTAGAATTGTTAAATAACAAGTATGCACATTTTGAGTTTTGACACATTACCAAATTGCACTCAATTGACTTTTCTCATCAGTAATATTTCAGAATGCCCTTTCCACACACCATTTTAAGCACCGGATACTAATAATCTTCTAATCTTTGCCACCCTGGTAGGTTTGTAAAAATAGCAATGTGATTTTAATTTGCATGACTTTGATCACCAGTGAAGCAGAACACATTTTAATCTTTATTTCCATTTGTATTTCTTACTTTGTGTCACAGCTGGGTCCTTTGCCAATTTTTTCTATTTAAGCATGTATCTTTTTACGTTAATCAATTAGTTAGAATCATCTCATATAGGTTGCAAATATTTTTTTTCTAGATACATTGTTTGAATTTCAACATTATTTATGGTATTTTAATAGAGTTTTAAAATGTGGTCTATGTTTTCATTCTTTTCTTTTAATGGTTTCTGCCTCCAGCATCACATCTGATTGGTTTTTTTTTTTTTAACAAAAGCCAGAGAAATAGGTTTTCAGATTATTAACCCAAAGCTTAAAGAAAGCACGTTCCCTTTTCATAGCTAATCAGGTATCTGCAATGGAAACAAAATTGCCCCTCTCCATTCCCAATTTTAATCAAAATGTTTTTCTCCTTATGTTACTGGCAAAAAAATCACTGCCTAATTGAGACTTCTGTGTATTCAATTAATGCTTCTGTGCATTTGGCCTGACAATGCCCAGAGGCTAATGGGACCCTGTGCTATCTTTAACAAAGATGAGAGTACAAACATGAGTAAGACAGCCTATTATGGGCTTTCTGGGGCCTTTTAAAAATATTACATTTTCAGCATGTGAATTACACCAAATGGTGGTAACGCAGGTTTCTGGGGTTTAATGCATTTCTGCTCATTCCGTTTATAAAGCAAAATTGAAATAAAGTAATTCTATTCCAAAATATGTTTTAATCATGAGTTTTTGAAAGCTCTTTAGGTAAGATGTTTTTGCCTTGCATGATTTAGAAACCATTAAATTAAGTGGGTTTCCACAGTATTTGAATACTGCAAGTTGAACTTACTTTCAATCTAAAAGCAGGCAGAAGAGAATTTTGATGTAAACTGAATTATGAAAGTAATTTTCTTAATGATTAGGAAGTCGACTCAAAAAAACAAATGCTAGCCACTACCTATAGAATACAGAGTTATCAATCCTTGTTGTTTTCCAAAGTAGTCCAGATGTTTTAGAGAAATTTTGAAGTAAATTTGAAGTAAATGTCCAAAGTAAGAAAAATCAAATCGAACATTCAGACTTCAATTACTGCAAAAAAGACTTACAAAAATTTTTCAGATCACAAGAAATTGTTAAAACACCAGAACCCAAAAACAGAGGAGAAAGGAAGAAGTGTGGGTTGTGAGGTTAATTCCAGCATGTCCAGAATTAGCCCTAGTTGTTTTACTGAAGTTCTAGCGTGACACTGACCCCCTATCAAGACACAAAACATACTGGTTAATGGTGTTGTTTTGTAGCCATGAGTCTTGAGATTCACAGTGGTTTGTCCGAGCTTGTCGACATTATGTATTGGTAACAGTGAGACTGATTATTTGTACCTGGTCTCTGTGTGACATCTGTCCCTTCCTCAAAGGGCTCTACTGTTGAGGTTAAAATATGCCTGTGTGACTGGCCCATCTGAGAGTCCATTTTGGACTCCCTGGTTCTGAGGTGTTCTGTGCACATGTCAGTGTGTTCTGTGCACATGTCAGTGGTCCAAGCGATAAAGTGGGTCCTGCTATCATGGCTCTTAGAGAGGACGACAATAGGATCCTGTCCCTGACCACTCCAGACCCCTGGCTGTATCCTTTTCCTGCAATAAACTATGTATTTGTGAGTAATGCCATTTGAGTCCTCTAAGTCTCCTTTAGCAATGGAACCCTGTTCACTTGCCATAGCTAATGCAGCGTGGAAAAGTCATCCAGGAGAGTGGAAGAGATTATTAGTGGGGATACACATTGTTCAAAAATGGTGCTGGAAAAAAATGGTGCTGGGACAAATAGTGTAGTAGATGTGTCTGCCCAGGTCACAGTGATTCTTCTCAGAGAACTTCTATCTTCTATCTTCTCCTTTCCAATTCATAAGGTTTCAGGAGTGGGTCCACAACAGCCATGTACACATTAAGTGACCCAAGTTCCCTAGTCAAAGCTGGTCGGATCAGAGGTGAACTCCTGACCCAAGCTAGACTGAGAAGAGTCTCTTCCAGTCTGAAGGGTTGGCATCTTTAAGGGAGGAGACCTAAAAGCTCAGGTGTTGAGCTTTGGTATACACAGCTTCCACCAACAAGACCAAGTAGCCGAGAAAGCCCACCCACAGAGATGAATGAAGCCAAGGCTCAGAGGGCAGCAGAGCTGAGGAATGGCAACAAGCTACTCTTTGCATTCCTGACACCATTTCCTTCTCTGATTCCAGCCGTTTGGGAAATTAAGCTCCATCCAAGATCTGGGTTCCAGAGAAATACTCCATATTCTTATAATAAATTCCCTTTTTTCCCCCTATCAAGCTAGCTTGAGTTAGCACCTTTACTAGCACCTAAATATCCTTAACTCACTAGCCATGTAGAAACATATAGAGCTAGATCACTACCTCACTGCCTGCCCAAAAATATATTCCAGATGGGATTAAGATTTCAATTTCAAAATAAAACAATATAGTGAGTAAAATCAAATATAGGAGAATATTTTTATTTATTTATTTGAGACCAGGTTATGAGACTGGCTAATTTTTGTATTTTTAGTAGCAATGGGGTTTCGCCATGTTGCCTAGACTGGTCTCGAACTCCTGGCCTCAAGCGAGCCACTCACCTCAGCCTCCCAAAGTGTTGGGGTTACAGTTGTGAGCCACCATGCCCCAGCCAGGAGAATATCTTTTATAATCGTGGAATCTAGAATCAAAAATAAAAAAGATTTAAACATTTGCCTGTATGACATTTGAATACTTATAAACAGCCAAAACACATCATAAACAAAGCCAAGAGGCATAAAAATAGGGAAAGTATTTGTAACAAATATGCAAAGTAAAAGACTAGTATTGGTAATACACAAAGGACTGTTATAAATTAATAAGATTGGCCGGGCACAGTGGCTCACGCCTGTAATCCCAGCACTTGGGAGGCTGAGGCGGGTGGATCACCTGAGGTCAGGAGTTCGAGACCAGCCTGGCCAACATGGTGAAATCCCGTCCCGTGGTGGCAGGCGCTTGTAATCCCAGCTACTCGGGAGGCTGAGGCAGGAGAATTGCTTGAAGCCGGGAGGTGGAGGTTGCAGTGAGCCGAGATCGCACCATTGCACTCTAGTCTGGGAGATAAGAACGAGACTTCGTCTCAAAAAAAAAAAATTAATAAGATTAAAAAGGCAGGCAAATCGACAAAGGATGAAAATTGAGAAATCATAGAAGGCAAATTACAAATTACCAGCAAACATAGTATATGAAAAGATGTTCAACCTGACACTTACTTAAGAAATAGAAACGAAAACTACAGATTGGCAGATATTAAAAAGGTTAATAGCCCTAGTGATGACAAGGTTTTAGAAAAACATATACTCTCTTTTAACTATTGTTAAAAACTTTTGGGAATGTGATTTGGCAATATCAACTAAAATTTTAAATGCACAATAACTTTTGACACGGGTAATTCCACTGCTAGGAATTTATCCTATAGAAAATCACATAATGTGCATGATACTATATAATAAGGTTGTTTATTATAAAATGGTTTATAATAATAAAATTTGGACATACACAAATGTCTATCACAAGGCATTGCATTTTTAAAAATCTAGCATATCCACAGAGGGTAATAAACTGCAGCAGTCTAAAAATATTGAGGCAGCATTGTATGTACTGACATGGAAAGCTACTTGGAAAATACTTTAAGAAAAAAGCAAGTTGCAGATCACAGGAATAGCATGATTTTATTTTTGAAGAAGTGAGGGAGACCATGACCTGATAACAGTGGTTACCTGTGGGCAATAGGAATTGGGGGGGGGGGGCGCGCAAAAAGCTGGTAATTTTTAATGCGTACAGTTCTAAGTGTTCTAAAGCTTCTACAACAGACATTTATTAATTTTGTAGTGATTTTAAAATAAAATGTTTTTAGAAACTTCAGACAAAAACGAAAAGATGGCTGGGTGCGGTGGCTCATGCCTGTAATCCCAACACTTTGGGAGGCCGAGGGAGGCGGATCGCCTGAAGTCAGGAGTTTGAGACCAGCCTGGCCAATGTGGTGAAACCCCATGTCTACTAAAAATACAGAAATTAGCCGGGCATGGTGGCACGCACCTGTAATCCCAGCTACTCAGGAGGCTGAGGTAGGAGAATTGCTTGAACCCGGGAGGCAGGTGGAGGTTGCAGTGAGCTGAGATCGCACCATTGCACTCCAGCCTGGGTAACAAAAGCAAGAATCCGTCTCAACATCAATAACAACAAAATAATAAAATTTAATTTAAAATAAATAAATAAATAATAAGACTTAACATCAAAATAGGTCAATTCTCTTTAATTTAAATTACAAATCTAACATGATCCCAGTAAAACTGCCTATTCTAGGGACTAGAGAAGCTTGTTTGATGTTCATATGGAAAATAAGAAAGAATAACCAGAGAAATGCTGAAAAGGAAGAATAATGGGGCAGGAGGAACTTGTCTTATTAAAGTGTATATAATAAATATGGATAGCAAGGATATTTATTACAGCAGTGTTTATATTAGAGACCAACCGTAGACCACTAAAATACCTACCAATATAGGACTAGTTAAATAAAATATGATATGTCCATGTTGTGCAATACTATGCAATTATTGACAATGATGTAGATGTATTGGTGTGGAAAGATGCCCATGATATATTGCTAAATACAATAAAGCAAGTTGCAAAACAATAAATATAATGTAATCCTATTTATGAAAGAAAGGCACATATATATATGAACACATGTACATTACATGTATGTAAATACATGGAAAGTAGACAGAAATTATGCCCACTGAACTGGTAACAGTGGTTACCTTCAAGGAGAGGACTGGGATTCAGGGTATGGGTGGTGGGAGGGAGAGTAGTAAGGATTTTGTTCTGTATGCTTCTATAATGTTTGAATCTTTCATGAGAATGATTCCTGTATCACCTGTGTACTTTTTTTTTTTTTTTTTGAGATGGAGTCTCGCTCTGTCACCCAGACTGGAATGCAGTGGCGCGATCTCGGCTCACTGCAAGCTCCGCCTCCCGAGTTCACACCATTCTCCTGCCTCAGCCTCCCAAGTAGCTGGGACTACAGGCGCCCACCACCAGGCCTGGCTAATTTTTTGTCTTTTTAGTGGAGACGGGATTTCACCGTGTTCACCAGGATGGTCTCCATCTCCTGACCTCGTGATCTGCCCGCCTCGGCCTCCCAAAGTGGTGGGATTACAGGCATGAGCCACTGTGCCCAGCCTGCTCACCTGTGTACTTTTTAAAAGACAAAAAGTAGGCCGGGCGCGGTGGCTCAAGCCTGTGAATCCCAGCACTTTGGAGGCTGAGATGGGCGCGATCACGAGGGTCAGGAGATCGAGACCATGCCTGGCTAACATGGTGAAACCCCGTCTCTACTAAAAATACAAAAAAAAACTAGCCGGCAGAGGTGGCGGGTGCCTGTAGTCCCTGTTACTCGGAGGCTGAGGCGCAGGAGAATGGCGTAAACCCGGGAGCGGAGCTGCAGTGAGCTGAGATCCGGCCACTGCACTCCAGCCTGGGCGACAGAGTGAGACTAACGCGGCTCTCAAAAAAAAAAAAAAAAAAAAAGACAAAAAGTGTCTGTAATCCCAGCACTTTGGGAGGCCGAGGCAGGTGGATCACTTAAGGTCCGGAGTTCAAGACCGTCCTGACCAACGTGGTGAAATCCTTTCTCTACTAAAAACACAAAAATGCATGGTGGTGCATGCCTGTAATCCCAGCTATTCAGGAGGCTGAGGCACAAGAATCGCTTGAACCTAGGAGGTTGAAGTGAGCCGAGATCGCACCATTGCACTCCAGCCTGGGTGACAGAGTGAAACTCTGTCTCAATAAATAAATAAATAACAAAAAGTAAGAGCAGTTACCACAGTCTGCTTCTCTGTGAATGTTGGGACAAACTGGACCACATTCAAAAGTTTACATTCAATCACATATTTCTTCATTTATTCAACAAATATTTACTGCTGAGTGCTAGGTACTTGGTACTCACTAGTGATTAACAGACAATGCTCTGATCCAGGGCAGCTCATCCAGCTGGGTGACTGCTGAAGCCAGCTGTCAGTGGAGGTGACTGGAACACAGGTGCAGTTGATGTGGCTCTTTAGAAGCCACGTAGATCAATTGTGTATGGTTAATGGCTACTAATAAAATAAGAAGTTAATGCCTGTTGCAATAATGTCCGCAAGTGAGAGATAACACGACAGAGGCAAAAAACCTAACGATTTCTGGATCCAATGATGCAAAAAGAGAAAGGCAAGCAACAGTGGAAAAATCCAACATGTCTGTTGTAAGACTTTTACCTAAAGCTTTCTTGCTCTCTGAACCAGCTATGGAATCAACTCTGCTCTCACCTGTACTTTCTGGTCTGCCAAAGTAGAAACCTACCCATGGAACTTTGCATTTTCCTTCTTGGACCATGACAGACTCAGGGAGTGGAGGGTGGCGGGGCATTGCCAGGGCAGCTAATGGGGACCTCAGGAACCGTAGATTTGTGGCTAAATACCTGAATCCTCCCATCCTGCGGAGGACTGAGATTTATGTGGTCAGAGCCAGAGTATGAAGCTTCTGCCAGAGACAGCACAGTCTGCCAAGGCCCTGAAGGTCAGGTCAAGTCAAAGCCCTCAGGAGAAAGCTGGGGTTTGATCACCAGGATGACCTTGTGCAGGCCTAAATCCAAAGAGTCCAAGACAAGGCTCAGACTGAGCAAAGAATCCAGCACTGTTTGCCTGCCCACATCTTCCTGAGCTACTGAATTCCCTCCTCGTGTTCCCCTTTCTGTCCTCTGAATTCAAGTCCTGGCACTGGCTTTCCTGCTAGAGCCTTGGCCCTTCTCCACATAAGTATCTGACTTTCTGCCTCAGGTTGCCTGAGGAAAAGCCCTGAGACAACCTAGCCCCTGGGACCGTGCTACCCAGGAGTCAAGCCCATGGCCTGCACTCCCAGCCCATCTGTCCTGTTCCCTTCAGTGGCAGAGAGACCAGCACCCTACTCATGGGCATTAGAATCTCGCTATCAGACCCCTGGCAAGGCCCTGTCTGGGCAGCTCTCCCTTTTCAATATTGCTTTCTGGTTGCAGCAGTTCGCAGGCATCTTTCTCAGTGTAAATCCACGAATTGGTATTCTGGATTTGCAATCAACCAATTGTAAATTTAGGTAGGGCAATCCCATCCCTAGACCCGAACACTTCTGGGAGAGCTGACAAAGTTTCTGAATCCTCAAATTTGCAAAACAGACCCTCTGCCCCTGGAAGGACCTGCTCATACAGCCAACTGGTTTCTTTCTGTACCACCTCGTCACTGAAACAGGCAGAGTACAAGAGACGATTCTGAAATATAGAACCCTGTCTAGGAAGGCAGGCTTAAGGAGGGCCTCCAGGAAGGGACTGTGAGCAAAGCATAAACTGTGTGTAGGTGTATGGCAGTGGGGGGCAATGGCAAGGAGGAGGAATAGAATAAGAGAGCAGTTAAAAAAAAAAAAAAAAAAGAATGTGGATGGGAGAGGGTGGGTGCTGAGAATTACTTAATAGATACAATGCACATTATTTGAGTCATGGATACACTAAAAGCCTAGATTTCAGACTGTGCAATACATCCATAGAACAAAATTACATTTGTACCTTTTAGATGTATACAATAATTTTTAAGACAAATGTGAGCTCTGCCTGTGTTTGCATCTCAGTCCAGTTTCCTCATTTATAAAACAGAATCATAATATCTGAAGTCCAGTTTCCTCATTTGTAAAATGGGATCATAATAGTGTTTACCACTATGTTATGAGAATTAAATGAGGAAGACGTAGCACAATGTCCAGCACATAGGAAGCACTCAGTATATGCCACCTGCTCCTAGAGGAGAGAGTGAGGCCAAGGAGGTTCCAACAGGGAAGAAAGCAGAAATAAATGAAGGGAGATGAGAAAGACTCAGATAAGCTGCCTAATTCCCACTCTTTTCCGAGGGCCAGCCTTGACTGTTTTAGGTGTTTAACCAGAAATGTATTTGCATGATTTGTAAATTTCCCTGTCACTACCAATTTCCAATTCCAGCTCTGTCCTTTTTTATCTGTGTGTGACCATGGGTAAATCTCCTAATCACTCCATGCCTGTTTCTTCAAAAATACAAGTAGGTGGTTATTGTAGAAAACTGTTAAGACCATTTCTATTCTAACATTCTTATTCTATCTTAAATTCTTGTCATTTTCTTTGTGAAAGGGTTATGTGTTGAATTATGTCCTCAGAAGGATATATTGAAGTCTTAAGCCCCAGTACCTGTTGTTACCGGTGGAGGGTGTCCAGGTTCTTGGCATTTTGAACAAAGAATTGGATAAAACCCACAGGTTTTTCAAAGGTCAGATGGCTGTAGGTGTGCAGTTTTATTTCTGGGTTCTCTATTCTGCTCTGTTACCAGTGGAGGGTGTCCAGGTTCTTGGCATTTTGAACAAAGAATTGGACAAAGCAAGGAAAGAATGAAGCAAGGAAAGCAGAGATTTATTGAAAACGAAATTACACACCACAGGGTAGGAGTGGGCTGAAGCAGCTGCTCATGGGCCCCGACACAGAATCTTCTTGCATACAAATACTCCCTAGAGGTTTCCCATTGGCCACTTGGTGTTCAACTTATGTAAATGAAGTGGTGGCCCGCAGTCAGAGGCTGAAGGGAAGTTACAAAGTTACAATTCTATGCAAAAAAAGAGGTATTTTCAATTTCCCATCTGCCCCACAGAAAAGGTGGGGGTTTGCAAAGGGAAACAAAAAGCCTCTGGTCCTTTTGTTACTTAGGTGTGGAAAGTTAGGTTTCCCAGCTGGGTGTGGTGGCGGGCACCTGTAATCCCAGCTACTCAGGAGGCTGTGGCAGGAGAATCACTTGAACTCAGAAGGTAGAGGTTGCAGTGAGCCAAGATCACGCCATTGCACTCCAGTCTGGGCGACAGAGAGAGACCCCGTCTAGGGGGAAAAAAATTAAATAAATAAACTCCCGTGGCTTTCATGATTGCTTCTGGGAGAAAAAAAAAAAAAAAAGGAAAGTTAGGTTTTCCTTTCCACTTCATTCTAGGAAGTCAGTGTGAATCAGCCTCAGGTTCCCTACCTCCAGACCCTATTCTCCTACCTCACCTGAAAATGAGACCTTATTTGGAAATAATCAAAGATGTAATCAAGTTAAGTTCGTTTATTAGGGTGGGCCTTAATCCAATATGGCTGGTGTCTTTCTAAGAGTAGAAGATGCACAGAGACACGGGCGAGAAGATGGCCATGTGATGACACAGGCAACAACTGGAGTGATCCATCTACAAGCCAAGGAACACCCATGATTACCAGAAAACAACAGAAGCTAGAAGGAGGCAAGGAAGGATTCTCCCCTCCAGGTGTCAGAGGGGCAGGCCCTGAAGACACCTTGATTTCAGACTTCTAGTGTCCAGAACTGTGAGAAAATACATTTCTGTTATTTTAAACCATCCAGTTTGTACTACTTTGTTACAGTAGCCCCAGGAAACTAATCCAGAAAGTGTCCCCAAAACATGTCTATCTTGTGCTATCAAACTGTTGTTTCCAAGAGTCCTACCTGCTTTCATATCTCCATTTCTAATTAAAGAAAGTTTAAACACAGCATTCTACATTCCTGATTTAGCAATTTCATTAAATGATAAAAATTAATGCATGATATACCAGATATTTGGAAAACATAAATTGCCAGAAGATTGTTATAGCAACATCCATACTAATTAACATGTCTTAAGAAAGGCCATGCATGTTTATCATCTAATTAGAATCATACAATCAAAAGAATAAAGAGTACTTCCTTGGGGGATATAAAATAAATAAATAACTACAATATTTTCATTAAAGTTGGCAATGTTCCTTTGAACCTATTTGAGTGCTAGAAATTGATGTATAAATTAAATGGTTTTATAGTTTAGATTTGATATTTAGAAGAGATTTACACCATTAGTGCAAATTATTTTAAAATGTATTGTGTGTTTGAAAAATGCTATGACGCTTACGATGCTATGTGAAGAAAATGAGCTACAACTCATTTAAAATCATGAATAAAAGGGTGTTTTAGAGACTGATGTCCATATTCCTATGAGACCTGAAAACTTCTCCAAAGTTCAGAGGGTTTGACCAAAAAATGCACCAATTTTCTAAATATGGGGTTTGCCAAATTGTAACCCACAGGCCAAATCCATCCCATCACTGGTTTTTTGTACAGCCTATGAGCTAACTATATATATATAGATAGATAGATAGATAGATAGATAGTTATATATATATAGATATATAGTTAAATATATATATATAACAGTTAAAAAATTGAAAGAAGAAAAATATTTTGTGATTCACGAAATTTCCATGAAATTCAAATTTCAGTGTTAATAAATAAAGTTTTCTGGGAACACATCCTTCCTCACTCATTCACTTACATATTGTCTATGGCTGTTTGCATCACTTTCCTATTGCTGTATAACAAATTACCACAACGTTAGTGGCTTAAAACACAAATTTATTATCTTACAGTTTCCACTGGTCAGCAGTCCCGGCAGGACTGGGCTGTTTGTTCAGGGTCTCACCAGGCTGAAATCAAGGTGCTGGCTGGGATGGTAGTCTCATTTGAGGCTCAAGGTCCTCTTTCAAGCTCACCTAGCTGGCAGAATTTAATTCTTTGCAGTTGTAGAACTGAGACTCCCATTCTTATGCTGGCCACCAGCCAAGGGCTACCTTCAGCTCCTAGAGGCTGGTTAGATACCTTGCCACATGGCCCCCTCCATCTTCAAAGTAAGCAATAGAGAGTCTCCCTCACATTAAACCTCTTTAACATTTTGAATCTCTCTTACTAGGAAGAGCCTTATCCCTTTTAAAGGCCCACCTGATTAGGTGAAACCTACCACGCATAATCTCCCTATTTTAAGGTCAACTGATTTGGGACATTAAGTACGTCTCCAAAATCCCTTCACAGCAGCACCTAGGTTAGTGTTTGATTAAATAACTGAGATAAAGTTTTTATGCATCAGGGGCCAGGAATCTCAGGAGCCATCTTAGAATTCTGCCTACCACACTGTTGCCATGCTATGATGGGAAACTTCAGTAGTTGCAACAGAGACCACATGGCCAGCAAAGCTTAATATTTGGCCCAGAGACCATACGGCCCCAAATTACTTACTAATTGGCCCAAACAGAAAAAGTTTGCTGATCCCTGTCCCAAATTAAGCTGAGTTTCAAACTTGAAAACTGCATGATCTCTGTCCAGCAAATAACCCTAAATCTGGGACAATGTAAACAGAAGGAAGAGGCCATGAGAGTGAGACAATAATAGCATTACCAAACTGTTTCAGCTTTTCAACTCACATATATACACAAATACAAATACCGATGGTACTGAACTGGTGGTACTTTTTCTTTTCTCTTTCCTTTTTTTCTTTTTTTTTGGAGATGGAATCTTGCTCTGTCAACCCAGGCTGGAGTGCAGTGGTGCAATCTCAGCTCACCACAACCTCCACCCACTGGGTTCAAGCGATTCTCCTACCTCAGCCTCCCGAGAGCTGGGACTACAGGTGTGCACCACCACGCCCGGCTAATTTTTGTATTTTTAGTAGAGACGGGGTTTCACCATGTTAGCCAGGCTGGTCTCGAACTCCTGACCTCAGGCAACCCACCTGCCTCGGCCTCCCAAAGTGCTCGGATTACAGGCGTGAGCCACTGCGCCTGGCCGATACTTTTTCAAATGAGTCTTTTCAAGCACACACTAGAGGACTAACAAAAGGATAATTCACGTCATAATATTATCACTGCCCATCTTTGTCAAATCTTAACATGTTTGCTTCTTTTTAAAAACTGGCCAGGCTCGGTGGCTCATGCCTGTAATCCCAGCACTCTGGGAGGCCAAGGTGGGTGGATTACATGAGTCCAGGAGTTTGAGACCAGCCTGGCCAACATGGTGAAATCCTGTCTCTACTAAAAATACAAAAAAATTAACTGGGTGTGGTGGTGCATGCCTGTAATTCCAGCTACTCAGGAGGCTGAGGTGGGAGAATCACTTAAGCCTAGGAGGTCATGGCTGCAGTGAGCGGAGATGGCGCCACTGCACTCCAGCCTGGGTGACAGAGTGAGACTTCGTCTCAAATAAATAAATAAAGTAATAAAAGCTATAACACCGGCCGGGCGCGGTGGCTCAAGCCTGCCTGAATCCCAGCAGCTTTGGAGCCGGAGACGGTGGATCACGAGGGGTCCAGGAGGATCGAGACTTCCTGGCTACGACGGCTGGAAACCGCGGTGGTCTCTTACTAAAAAGACAACAAAACTAAGGCCTGGCGAGGGTGGCCAGGGCGCCGGGTGTAGTCCCATTGCTACTTTGGGAGCTGAGGCGCAGGAGGAATGGGCAAGAAGACCTGGGCAGCGGAGGCTTGCAGTGAGCTGCAGATCCGGCCACTGCACTCCAGCGGCTCGGCGAACAGAGCGGGATCGTCCGTTCTCAGAAAAAAGGAAGAAAAAAAAAGCCGTAACACTGTTAGGGCCGTCCTCTGATCTCATGCCACTCCCTCCACCTTCAGAGGTGAAACATTGTGCCTTCCAGGCCTATTCATCGTTATCCAGCAGCAGAAACGATAGTTGCAATTGTGTGCATCTTTTGAACTTTACAGAGAACTCAAGAGCTATGTAGGCCAGGTATTTCTGCAGACTTTCCTGGCTCTTGCTTAGTGCTGTTTTATGAAATTGTATTCCATCAATGGCTGTATAGCTGAAAATTTGTTCATTGTGTGTAGCTGACATTAGTGAGCTCCCCATTGTATAAGGTGATACCGGATGGGCGTTTATTTTTCAGGGTATTCAACTGCGTGGTGTATATTTTTGCGGGGTTACATGCGAGTCATTTATGATTACAAACAACGCTGCTACGTACTATGAACAGTTCTGTGTGTAGTTCTCCTGACTGCAGAGTATGAAAAGAGTACCTCTGCGCGTGTGCGGGCGGCTCGCGACGCTTGTAATGCCCAGACACTTTGGGCGAGCCGAGGCGGGCAGATTCACGTGGAGATCAGTTTTGGTGGAGGGGTTCCAGACCAGCCGTCGCGCCCATGGTGAATGAACCTGGTATTTCTACTAAAAAATACAGAAAACATTAGCAGCCGATGATGGTGGCGATGCCATGTAATCCCAGGCTACGTTCGGAGGCCTGAGGCAGGAGGAGTCGCGTTGAATCGCAGGAGCGGTGAGGTGTGCAGGAGCCGGGAGGATCGCTGCCACTGCACTTCAGTAGCTTCGGGCGAGCGAGATAGAGATTCCGTTCTCAGAAAAAAAAAAAAAGAAAAAAGTCATCTCTGGAGCATATTACCTGAGAGTAGGAATTTCTGGGAAATTAGGGTATGCATATGTTTATCTGGTTTATCTAGGCAATTATTTCAGATTCTTGCCGGCGAGCAGGTGTT